ATTGGTTGCTTGCAATCCTTAAATTTTCTAGCTTCCTAAGTCTATGCTCACACTTGTTGTACTCTTTAAGCTATGGAGCTGACAGACGTTCGTTGATATTGATAATTGTATTGTGAAGATGTTAGTCCTACTTGAGGCTGATAGAAGTCGATGCTTAAGATGGTGTGCACCTGTTGCACCATTCCCAAAGCACGTTATGACAAATTTATGATTGCAATGTCATGCAAACCACAATATAAATAGGAGCATCTGGGGCATGGTAATCAACGCAGCTACGTTGTAGCCAATATTTGCACCATTTATTTGGGATAACAAATATCTGCTCACCCGCTCCACAAAGTTATGTACAAAACTATACCACCTGGGACGTCAGGCTGCTGCGTGATCAGTGCTCGGAGGCCAACGCAGCAGCGGCGGAAGAATCATTTGCTCCCCACAGAGAGATCTAGCCGTACAAAGTTAGCATCGCTACATCTGCTCACCGGCGTTGAGTCTGGTACGGCACTTTCTCAGTGTATGACACTGAGCTAAATGTATATATTGCCTCTATCTATACTGCCAACCAGTCGCGCTATCATCCCTCCGCGCGCGGCTCCCCTCCAGCCCCCCCCCTAAAAAAAACGTTGGTAGGCTACATGAATGGCGCGCACGCAATAGCAGTCTTCAACGACAGAGCCGCTGTAAGTTATTTATCGGTTTTGATATTGCTTTTTAGGACCTTCTTGACTTTATAAAAATATTCAATGGCAAAACCTGGCTCAAATAAAAGGTAGATATAAAAAACGTAAATAATCACATAAACACAAGACTAAAAGTTCTGCTCAGCGGAGAACAAGAAACCTTGCTTTAGCTTTATGTTTAGAGCATGATTCTGTGGTGAAGCTCCATATATCGACAAAAAATTAATGCTTTTCGTAATGACCTTTTTTTGACCATTGACCAATGACCATTTTCGTCACGTATTCAGCTCGGATTTCTTGGTGGGGAATGTGCCTTCTCTCCAACGCTAAATCTCCCTCAAGAGCCGGAAACTCGCAGAGCCGTGTTTTTCCGCGTGCCCAACGAGTGACTGTTTGGGATGGTATTTGACGTCACCACTATACCTTCCATACAATATCCATTTTTGAAAGTTTCGAACGAAACTTTATTAACAGTACTATTTAAAGATAATTGATACTAATTTATTCATCAATATATGGTTAATTTATGCTATTTTTAGACGTACATGTTAGTGTGACATCATATACTTTCGTATCATTTTGTATTTTGTTACAATGATTTCTGCGTGCAGTCCAGAAACGGTGAATCATGACATGTGTGAGATGTTTTCTGCGCTTCTCCCCGGCCCGTCAAGAGACGCTGTTGTTGTTCTGAGTGCGGGCTCGGACCCGGTGTCTGAGCGCATCGGTGTCGTAGTTGGACGGTACGTGGGTGAAGTGTGTGCTGGTGACCAGCAACGGACCTGGGCACTACGTGCATTGCAAGAAAAGATTGCGTGTGATATGGTAGAAAGATTCGGCTGTAACCCGCCAGCAGTGTCCCTCGTTTAGTCGTGAGTGTGGCACGCGTTGCTGTCGAAGTTGCAGGAACAGCTTGCCTTCATCTGACATCGCTCACAGAGAACAATTTTTAAAATTATTTCCGGTGTATCTTTGTGGAGAGCAAAATGTCTTGGGGCTGAAAACACCAAGAAACACCAAAGTTTCAAACACTGCCTGTGACTGCGGCGGATTATTTCCAGGCGAACATGGGTTAATGATGCTAAAACAAATTTTCATTTCCATTTGATCTAGTCACTCAATGCCCGCAGAATCCTCAATATCTCTGTACATCCCAGACACAGTTCTGATAGTGTCTTTGGATCTCATTGCTATCGGTGTACGGTGTAAGAGTCCTATTAACAATTGCAAAATGAATAGCGCCGGAGGTTTATTCCTTGCACCCTTTTAACGTCCGACTCCTTCATTTTATTAACCTCAAAATACAAACAGAATTGCTTCTTCCGGTACCTCCTCTGGCTTCTGTTCCAGCTAACAAAGTTTAAAATGAAAATAGAACGACGAAAACCGAGCCCGTTCGAAATCAAGTGGTCAAATCTGGCGATTTTCTTGCGGGGCCTTCCACCATCATGGAGCCCTTTGTCAACCCTAGCCCTCCCCTTGCGAAGGCTCTGGCTGCGCCCTATAAACATGGAACGCTCTTCGCCCCTTGAATAAGTGCCTCTCCGTCCGGTGGTTACCCGCGAGAGCTGATCACCGCTGTTAGACACTCGAACGTGTGTTAGTAAGTAGAGCTCAAGAATAATGTAGATAGTTCGAAGAAAGATTATGACACCCTGGAGGTGGCCGTATCTTTCGAAGCTGAGGCTGAATACTTTTGGAAATATACGGATAGCTGAAATGCCTTAAGTTTTGGGAAAAAGGGCCTCCCAGACATTCTAGGGGTGCGAACCCATACTCTTGCTCCCCCTGTCCCCCCCCCCCCCCCTGTTGTGCCACGCGCCCTTGGCTGACAGATGCCCTCATGCCCCAATTTGGCGTCCTCCTGGAGGAATGCTGGTCACGCAGCCCCCAAAATTCACAAAAAAACGCGGTCCAAACAAAATCATATTCGACTCCCCGACAATCTGTTCCGGCAGCGCCAGCTCCGTACGCACAACACTAAAGCTTATATATGTGCTCGCTAGGTGACGCTGTAAGCCATCCATCGACGCCGTTTCCTGACGATTCGCGAAGCTGTGTTTTTTGGACCAACTGTCGCTGACATCATCTGGTGGATCTTCTCTCGGGTGTTCGTCCGCCAGTCCGAAAAACGATTTATCTGCCGACTAATAGTTTTATTCCGAACCCTACCTGGCGCCAGGATTTAATGCCAGGTCTCCATGACCTTGAATTATAGCGCTGACCGTGAGATCACACCGGTCGTGACCAGACGCAAACGCGCAGTTTCAGAAAATGAGTGGGGGGGGGGGGGGCTGAGCAGTATAAAAAACAGCGGACTGTTTCCTTGAATGCGCTAAACAATGGGTTTCTCCCCTGATTGGCTCACTTTCTTCTCAAAGTTGGGGGCTGAGGCACAATCTGGGGAAGGAGAGGGGTGTGGGGCTGGAGCCCACCCAACTGAACAGGAAGCTTCACTTCTGACTAGGCATGTGCCTGGATGCCAAGGATGGATCCAAGAGCCGGTATGGTTCCGTGCATATGGGAGCATGGTGTCTTTCGAGCCTCCAGGCATGGCATCTGGTTGTGCGCTGCCACGTGAGACCACGTAGAAGCCAGCGCTGTCAATATCTTATGATTTGCCATATGTCTCATAAATATATATATATATATATATATATATATATATATATATATATATATATTAAACTTACTTTGTCGCCTTGCAACGATTTCGGGACACGTCACCAATCATGATTTTCCTGAGAACAGAAGACGCATTCAATTCAAACGCTAGAAATATTCGGTGGCTTCACTTCCTTTCGCGCACGCCGACGCATGCAAACAGTTACCAGCTACATGCAAAAATGTGTGAATCGTGCTAGACAACCAACGAACGTATTGCTTGCTCCCTTGGTACAGGACGTGCTCACAATACCACATATCTACTACAGGCGTGGTTTTTTAAACAAACGGGGGAATGGAATGGCTGAAACTGGCGAGATGGAATGGCTGAAACTACCCAAAAATGCACAACATGCAAAAGCTAGATATTCCTTGATTCACCCCACTTTCTTCTCAGAGTTCGGACGGCTTAGGCCGCCCCAATCGAATAGGAGGCCACAGTCCTGGTCCAAAACATCTATACGCAAACCCCCTCAGACACTCGCAGTTCGTTTTGTGGTCGTTCAATATATGGTAACAGGCCTTGTCGTTCTGAGCGTTCCGTTGCCTCGTGAAGACCAGCGTCACCCGTGCATCCTGACATCAACCCAGCCACCCACTCCTGCGGCTGCTTCTTGGACTGCGTGGGATGTCGACGGAGTTCGTGTGGTAAATTTGCTCGTGGTTGAATTCTTGCTAATGCAAACGCCAAATGTGGCGTATGCAATCAGGCTCCATCCACCCGTGGCCTGACATGGAGCGGCGTGGAAGAAGTCCTAACGATCTGCAGCATCGTCAGGAATGAGACGTCACGATCCTGCTCTCATTCGTTCAGCTGGTTGCGTGTTAGTTTTGGGATGCGATGCCTCAATATGGGAAGCCGGGCCGGCCCGCCTGTGGGCCAGGTACGCAGTTATTCCCGTTCACACCTCGGACCTCACGATGACGTCATCGCCTGGAACGCTCGGAGTGTTTGCGTCCCGCATCAGCCCAATCGCTGTACAAACTCTGGCTGCGCCGAGAGTGAGGACGGTCAACTCCTGAAAAGATTGCGAAGCGTACGGGCTTTTTGACTTACCTTTTTTGGTAATCGGCATGGACTGTGCACACACAAAGGCCAAGCAGTCCGTCACTGGCAAGTGCTCAAGTGCGACAGGTATGTATGATGTCATCGGTGGTTACGTCACGCACGGATGACCGCATGTGCAAAACGCGGGACCTGTCGCAACGAGCCCACCTGTGACGTCACAGGCAACAACCGCGCGCCATCTCGCCGCTTATGAAGAAGACGCGGGGATCGAACTAGCGTCGACCAAATATGCAGGCACGAAATGGCGAGAGCAGCAGCGGATCTGCGACCATAGGTAGTCGCAGCACTCGCGGAAAGCACCGCATTGCAAGGCTGCATCGCTCGGCCCACGCAGCCGACCAAACCACGACGGCCTGCTATGTGCGAGCATCCGTGACCGTGACATGCGGCTTGTTGGTGTGCTATCTGCTCAAATGCTGTCAGTTTGCACGGGCCTTTGCGGCTGCTGCTTTCCTCATCGATTATCACAGGAATTTCCGTGCGCAGCCTACAAAATGAGGGCTCATCCCTCTTTGTTCTGGATGTTCACCGATTCCCTGCTTCGTCCTTCAGGGGGAGGTGCGAACGGTAAGAGAGCTGAGCACGAATACGAGTACCACAATGTTTATTCGTATTATCAACAGCAAACAATACCACAGCGCGCACGTACATTAGAAACCACAGTAAACAGCTGATTGGTAGCCTCGCAGCCTTCCTCCTCACACACAGTACAGATCATCACAACCGGGGCGTCCGCACGACGCCCTCCACGAGGCTCGACTAGCACCGTCCGGCAGCCCTGAGTGACCAGCTGTCTCGAGCGCCGTGTCGGCGGCCCGACCCGACCCTGCCGCCGGTCAGACCGGCCCGGGCGCGCGTCGCCGGCACCCGGCCCGCCTCATCCGCCGGCTGGCACCACAACGCCGACTGCAAGTCACAGCTCGGACATTCCTCGCCCCCGCGCGGCTGCGCCGCCGGCTATGAATAGCCTTCGGCGGCGTCAGCGGGCCTGGCGTCGCTCCAACGGCCTGGCTCGGATCGCTCCGGTGGTCTGAATCGGATCGCTTAAACAGCCTGGTTTCGATCGCTCCAGTGGCCTGGTTCAGATCGCTCCAGTGGCCTGGCTCAATTGCTCTAGTGCCCTGGCTCGATCACTCTAGCGGCCTGGCTCAATCGCACCAGCGGCCTGGCTCGGATCACTCTAGCGGCCGCCGGCGCCGCTAGCTCTGGTCCATGGTCTCCGCGGTGGCAGCGGCAGCGGTGGCAGCGGTGGCAGCGGCGGCGGCGGCCGTCTCCGGCTCGGCCGCGGCCGCGGCCGCAGCCGCAGCGGGGGCGGCGGCGGGAGCGTTCTCCACAGCAGCACCGTCCCCCGGCCGCGTCTCCTGTGGCGATTCTTTAACGGCCTCCTCAGGCGTCTCCTGGGCAGTCTCCTGCGATGCCTGCTGTGCCGTGTTCTGCGGCGCCTCCCGGGTGGCCTCCTGAACTGCCTCCTGCGGAGCAGTGTCCGCCGCCGGCGCCTGGCTCACCTCCACCGGCGGCTGCTTCCCTTCGGTCGGTGGCTGGCCCCCCTCAGCCGGCGGTTGCGCGCCCTCGGCCGGCGGCGCCACCGGCTTTTCGGCCACCTCAGCCTCCATCACCGCCTCCGCCTCAGTCGTTGCCGCCTTCGCGTTCTCAGTCCCGTCGGCAGCCTGCTCCGTCTCCATGGGCTGCTCGCCCGCGGTCTGCTCCGCCGCTGCAACGCTGCTCTGCCGCTCCAACCGTCCCAGGCAGTTCTGGATGCTCATGATGACGTCCTTTCGTGATGTCCGCACCTCGTCGTCGCCGCCAGTCTCCACATCGTCCAGCTTGATGAGCTCCCGCGTCAGCATCTCGTCGAGGAATATGTACTGCTTCTCGCCCTTCGTGCCAGTGAAGGCGTCCACCTGGCTCGCCAGCTGGGCCACCTCGTCCCGCACGGTCCCGATCCTTTCCATCGCTCGCTCCTTGGGCGTCTTCGCCGGCGGCGGCGGCGGCGGTCGCTCCTTCTCCGGCTCAGGCTGCGGCTGCGGCTTGGGCTGCGGCGCCGTGGCCGGCCGCGGCTTGGGCGCCGTCTGGGGCGGGCGCCGCGCGTCACCACCGCGCTCCACGTGCACAGGGATCGGAATTTGTTCGGCGGCCGGCGGCCAGCCGCGCCCGAACGCCGCAGCCGCCTGGAACGGCCGCGGCTCCGACGAGAACGGCTTCGGCGACGAGTTGAAGTAGTTGGGCTTGTGCTGCGGCCGCGCCGCCTCATCGCGCTGCGCCGCCGCCGCCGGCGCCATGTTGAGCGGCGGAAACGCGCGACGCCGCCTGCGCCTCCTCGCCGCCCGGCTGCGGCGGGCAGCTGCGCGCGCGCAAGTCCCGCTGCGGCTCCTCCTCACCGAGCAGCTGCGTCACGGGCGTGTCCAGCGTCTCGCGCCGCGTGTAGCGCTTTTGTTGACGCGGCGAGCCGCCCGCCGCCGGCGCGGGCGCGGGCGCCGCCGCCGCCGCCGCCGGGGCCCCGGCGTCGACATCGTCGCGCTCGATCTGGATCGGGATGATACGCTCGCGGTGATCGGGCGCCGGCCCGGCCGAGGCGGCGGCCGAGGCGGCGGCCGGGCGCGCCTCGGCCGGCGCCGGCTCGCCCGAGGCGCGGCGCTCGCGCTGGAACGGCCGCGGTCCGAACATGCCCGGCCGCAGGGCGTCGAAGCTGCGGAACTTGGGCCGGGCGCGGCCGCGCATCTCCTCCATCTCCGGGTCGGGGCCCTGCAACGTCGGAGAGGCGCGGTTACGGCGGCGGAACGGGATGACCGGCGCTGAGACGGCGCGGGGAGACGTCACAGCGCGAGACACGCAGCCGAAGCTGTACGCAGAACAGGCTGACATTGTGAATGACTCGGTGAAAGTACACCGTAAATACTATTTTGCAGCCCACTTAGTCAGGCTATCAGCTGCGGTACGAGGACGGAAACGAAATCCGATACTTAATTTTAAGTTGACAATTTTTGTTTCAAACAGCTGTCAGCTGTTTACATAAATTTGTCAGTGGCTTATCACTTGTCATATTAATCAGGGTGGTCGCGGAAAGCGCTCAGAAAACGTCAACACTTGCGCCGCAACAACCACTCCCCACCAAAGGTAGCTGACCCCGTTAGGTCACTTCCTTGACTTAAAGCAGACGGTTCGGGATGTATTACCTCGGGATCCACCATCCACTCGTTTTCCCACATTTTTGGCTCTGAGGTCGGCGCAGACACGCACGAGCCGGGCCGGAGACCACTCACAGATCACCGCGACCGCTCACAGATCATCCGGATCCTCCGCAGGTCAATGACAAGGTGACGAGCGGATCACGAACGTCCCTCACGGGTCACGAACGCCCGTCACGAGTCACGGAGACCCAGTCACGGTTCTCGGGAATGCCGGGCCGGGCCGGTTGGGGCGGGCGCGCGCTGTCCGAGCGCAGCACTGCCGCAGCGGCGGCCTCTGCCCACCAGCGGCAGCGCCAACTGAGCTCGGCGGTCGTGACTCAGGAGCACCGCCGCCGCCGCCGCCAGGCCTGGCCAGCCCCGGCAGCGACGGAGGCGCGCCGCCAGCCGCCCACGCAAGCCGGCGCAACGGACCAACAGATCGACGCGAGTCGGCACCTGGCTGGCGGCCACCGAGGACGCCGATGACGGCCGACCGCTGACCGCGGGGCCCGAGGATGGCGACGGCCGGGGATCGAGCACGGTGGAGGTCAGGGTGCGCTCAAGGGCGCGCTCGCTGATGTTGGCAATCGCGGTACATTCCAGTTCCACGAGCGGCACGGTCCCAATGGACCCCTAGCGGGCTGGAAGCATTTCGCCATGCCATGACATTGCCTTTCCCCTCGGTCATCGATCTTTCAAGGAAAGCACACGGCATGTTGTTTTGAATAGTTTTCGCCGACAAGGTTAACTCTAGGTGCAGGAGTGTCCGTGGGACTTCGCAAAAGGTAAGGGCGCAACCCAAAATTTGACAATGAAAAACAAATTATGACGCTCAAATGGGCTCAACTTCTTGAGTGGCATAAAACAACATCGCGTGTTCGGGGCACGAGCCGGCAGCGCCATCCCCCCCCCCCCCCCCTCGAGTACGCCCCTGACTGAGCGTCATGCAAACGTAGACATCATCGGAAATCACGCGTGGCTGAACGGGTTGGGGACCCACTGTTGAACCTGCCGAGAAAAGACAGAACGACGAGCGACTGAACCAGGTGGAGCCAGCAATGTTTAGCGATTAAAGGTAAAATCCCAATAATTGCAATCTAAGTTGATGGACCCGATAGTTGGTGTCGTCACCGCCAGATCTGCCAAACCACGATATCCACAAGGGAAACCGGGAGAGCCTACCAACGACAAACGCGTGCAGCGCTGCAACTTTTGTTCAGATATGTTCTCAGTGTTTACCACACGCCCTTGCCTGTAGCCGGGCGCCGCACCTCCTGCCAACACTAACAGGGCGCCGCCCCGGTCAGCCATTCAGACCGCCGGGGGCGCTGGGCCGGCGTGGGTCGCACGCGAGCGCCCGAGAAACGAGCGGGCGTGCCCGCCGACGGCCGAGACGACTGGGCGTGCCCAAACATGGCGCCCGGCGGCGGTGTCAGGAGAGGTTAGAATCGCGCGGCAGTGAACGGAAGGGCGACACTACGCACCGGTCATGGTGTATGCGCGCCGGCGAATCACAGCAAATTTCGCCATTACAGACCCTGGGGACCTGCTGCTCGGAAATACCGCCGCCGTCGACATCGTCCGACGCGTCAATACGACATGAAATAATGATCTCCCCACGGAACGATGGACGTTACGACACAAACCCTATACGCGCGAGACTAATTTCAAAAATCAACTAAAACGCGTTACAGAGGGCCGGGCTTCTCATCAGCCGAGGTTGCCGTTCTCACGCCTTGGCTGGTGTTGACGCCAGTCTCGGTGGAGACGCCCCTCCGACCTCTGACAAATTCCGCGCACCTGTGGCTCCATCACGCAACTGCGTACGTGAGGGTCTGGCGACGCTATCGCAGGTGTCTGGGAGGCAGAGCGCGTGCCGCTGTCTCGCTCTGCCCTGCCGCCCTACCCCTGGGTTGCAGAGCAGGCGCCGTTTTCGAAAGTGCAGGGCAAGGAAAACAGACATCAGGACGGTTGAGGAGGGGGGGGGGGGGGGGGGGGCGCGCGAGGACCACAGAGGCAATGATGGAAGATAAGGAAATGGATGGATGATGGAGACCAACCGCAAAACCAGCAGGAAACTGGATCAAAGTCCAAAGAAGGCGCATAGCGAGAAGAACGACGTAGGGCACATTGTGAGGAGCGGAGAGCGACGGCGGCAGAATTGAGGAGAAAGGCCAAAAGGGGCAGGGGTCCCCAGTTACGTGCACGGCGACGGGCCGTCGCAGCGTACCAACCGTGCAGAAGCCGTGGGCTCTGTGAGCGAACGCCACTGACATCTCGATCGGCCCGATTCGAACTTGGCACACACGCTCGCCGGCACAGGTCGCCGAGTCAAAGGTCATGTGACGTCACGGTCCGGGAGTGTACCGGCTAGTGTGGGCGCGCGGTGGGCGTGCCGCGTCTGGAATCCACGATAAGGCTGAAGTTCGCGATGAAAAGATTTGGCCGGGGTTTTGTGCTAATGAGGTGACCAAAAGCTGGAAGTCACGCGCATAAATCGCAGTGTGACACAACATGCCCGGCGCTACCGAAGCCCCTTCAATTCCATTACTTGAACAATAAAAGATGCTCGACGATGCCAGCGTCCACACCCGATTTTAGCGGAGGACATCCTCAACACCGTGATCTCTCACACAAACGATGTGGAGGGGTGCGCACCTTGGCAAAGGTCTGCGGGTCACGTTGCCGCCCACGTCGGCTGACTACGCCAGGTTCGTATCCAGCGTTTTCCTCAAGAGAGGGCGGGGGGGGGGGGAGGGGTGAGGTAAATGACAAACTCCGTCCTAACTCTGGGCAAATTCAAGCGAATCGCCCTGCACCGCCCTGCACCCCCTTCGCTGAGCGGGAAGGGGGACATGGCTCCCGAGGTCCTCTCCTTGGCTACGTGCCTGGACCACGCTGACCTTGGGTAGTGGGGTTGCTGACGGGGGGGGGGGGGGGCGGGCGCGAATCGATAGTGCCAATGCACTGTCGCCAGGCATGGCCAGAGGTCAAACAGCGAGCAGCCAGTCTCGTCGACTGTGTTGTTCCGCCCGATGCCGACTGAATCAATACGCCCGGAGGATGCTTCGCTCGACTACAAGATTATTGTTGACTACGACTCGAAACACCTGAGAAGACGAAAGCGGGAGCGAACCAACGGCTCTTCAGGACGTGCATCGTCTCGCAGTTCGCGCACATGTCTTGCGCGGCACGGGGACCATCACAATTACGGTACCAGCACAACCCCGTCGGAGCAACCGGCTCTGCGCGCGCCAATCTTCATCTGGAACATAATCACGTCTGAATCCGCCAATTCATCCCGTCATCACACTATTTACCACTGCATGTCACCGATTCCAGTTGAGTCCAGCAGCCTGCAGTTCCTTTACGGCTGCCTTTTGAACTTCCGACCTTAAAATACTCACACGGCGGTGTCCGTAACCCTCAGGTGCATAATTAGTATGATTTGGCCATCTTTTAAATCATCTTTTGGGTATGCTCGGTATGCCTCTCGCGCACGCTGTCGGGCGCACGCGGTAGGGAGACACACAGACCCCAGATGCTACGCTCGTCCGGCCGGTTCTGACACTTTCTTGCACGTACAAAATAAAACTTGGTTTGCCGGCCTACAAGTTCCTGGGACTACAAAGTCAGGACCCCACCGACCCCAACGTCGGGGACGTCCGTGGTTTCGCAACCGTCTCTCCGAGGATGTAATTTTGCGAAATGAGTTGGGGGCGGGCTAAACAATCAAAATAAATATGTCAACCCCTGAAATAGCAAAAGCACGATTTATCCCTGGATTTGGCCCTCTGTCAAAATTGGGGGAGGGGCTGAACCCCGAGAGGGCAGGGACTGAGGCCACAATAAAAAGAAAACTAAACCCCTGACCTCCTCTTCCCCCTGATCATCCCCATGCGCAGCATTACACCTAACGTTGCCAGCTGTCCGATTCATAAGTCATGTGCCTGGGCAATCTGGTGAAAACGAAGGACATGGTACAGAACAGACCACTTGAAGGACCAGACCAGATGCAATACGGTGAGCAGCAAGAGGACGAGTCTACTTACCATAGACATCCCTCCGCGCGAAAATCCTGTTCCCCAACCCGGAGCACGCGCGTCTTGGTCG